AAATAAAATCTTAAAAAAAAAAAAAAAATATATATATATATATATATATATATATATATTCACCCCAAACCTGTCAATGTGAGTTATGGGAAAGGGGGCTTTGCAGATGTAATTAAGGATCCTGAGAAAGATCATTGTCGATGGGGGGGGGGGGTGGGAGCACTAAATACAAAAACAAGTGTTCTTTTTTTTTTTTTTTAGATTTTATTTATTTATTTCACAGAGAGAGAGAATCACAAGTAGGCAGAGAGGCAGGCAGAGGGGGAGGGGGAAGCAGGCTCTCTGCTGAGCAGAGTCTGATGTGTGGGCGGGGGCAGGAAGGCAGAGGCTTAACCCACTGAGCCACCCAGGAGCCCCCACAAGTGTCCTTCTAAGAAAAAGCGAAAAGACACAGAGGACAAGGTGATGTAAAAACAGAGGCAGAGATTAGGATGCTACATCTACAATCCAGCCAAGATTTGCAGGCAGCAATCGGAAGTTAACGGAGAGGCCCGGAACAAATTCTTTCTCACAGCCTGCAGAAGGAACCAAACCTGCTGACACTTGGATTTCTGACTTATGCTTCCCAAATTGTAACAGGATACATCTCTGTTGTTTTAAGCCACCTCGTTTGTATCAATTTGTTGCAGCAGCCTTAGGAAAGAAACATGAACTCCTGATAAGGGTATCTAACTAATTTCTCTGGTAGGCAATGTTTCACACCCTTCTCACAACTCATTGAGACATTTAAGTGCCTCTTCTTGGACTTCACTGAGAGAGGACCCTAGAGGCTAGAGACTGGTCCCCCAAACTTTGCCTCCCAAGAGCCTTTTCTCTTTGCTGATTTTATTTTGAATACTTTTACGGTAATAATGATATGATGTAATAATATAGAATGGTATGTGCTGAGTCCTCTGAGCCTTCCTAGCAAATTAGCAAACCTGGGTGTGATCTCCCAATTTCCAACCAATAAAAACATTGCTAAGAAAAATTAGAGAAGATCTAAATAAACGGAGTGAAATGTCATGGCCATGTCACGGTTAGAAGATTAACATTAGCGGTGCCTGGGTGGCTCAGTCGCGTTAAGCGTCTGCCTTCGGCTCAGGTCATGATCCCGGGGTCCTGGGATGGAGCCCTGCATTGGGCTCCCTGCTCAGTGGAGAGCCTGCTCCTCCTTCTCCCTCTTCTCCTTCCCCATGCTCATGCTCTCTCACTCTCGCTCTATCTTAAAATCTTTTTTTTTTTTTTAAGTCTTAGTTAATAATATACATACTGCAGTATTTAGGGGTGAGAGCATTGATGTTTACAACTGTCTTTGAAATTAATTTAAAAATAAGATGGATTGATGGAGACAGGAAAAGGACAGATGTAAAGATAAAGATAAAACTGATAAAACAAAGTATTAATTGCTGATGTAGATTCCAGGTAGTAGGTAAACGGATGGTCGTGGTACAGTGAATTTATCTTTTCTGCGTATTTGAATATTTTATAATAGAACGCTTGAAAAACATGATAGCACATCCCTGTGTAAATGGTAGCATTTTCTCTATCCTGATGTTAAAATGATGGCATCTTAAGCTCAATGACTTGTGATCATTGTAAAGGATAATACTGTGGCTTATCAAACATCCACGACGCCCCGGCCAGCGTTCGGACACGAGTCCACCCCTGCAGGAGGCCTCAGGGCCCAGCGCGGGAGGCCCGGAATCGCGAGGCAGTGTCCCAGCTGGGTCGGAATTCGTGTCCGGCTGCCGGCAGTGGGACGGCGCCCAGGCACGTAGGTCGCTAAAGCCGCCCGCGCACGCGCCAGCCAGCCTCAGCCCCACCCCCGTCTCGGGTGTCCCGGCCTGTCCCAGCCGCGCCCCCGGAAGCCCCGACTTCCCAGAGCCGCCCACGGCGCCGCCACCGCCCTCCCCGGAAGTTCCGCCTCCTGGCTCTGGGCCGCTCTGGCCCGAGCGCGTCCTTCTCGCTGGTGGGCCGGGCGCCGCCCCTGCCCCGCACGGCGCTCCTCCGGCCGCCAGGGGCGCGCAGGCCGGAGCGGGGCCCCTCTGGTCCGCGGCGGCCGCTCGACGGCTCCGCGGCGAGGTCACTTCCGGTGCCGAGGCCACCGCCTCCGGGCTGTTCCCCCGGCAACGCGCGGCGGGCGCAGTCCCCGCAGCCATGGACGCGCTGTCCGGCGCCGGGCCCCGCCGGGCTCGCTGCAGCCTGGGCGCGGCGTCTCCCGGAGCGCGGGCTGCGGCGGCGCCCTGGGCGCGGTTCTCGGCATGGCTGGAGTGCGTGTGCGTGGTCACCTTCGACCTGGAGCTGGGCCAGGCGCTGGAGGTGAGCCGGGCGGCCGGGCGGCGGGGGCGGGCCGGGCGGCGGGGGCGGCCGGGACGGGCCCTGCGGCGTCGGCCCCGGGCAGCCACGAGCTGTCTGCGCGCGAGGAGTCCTCGGGCCGCGCCCCCCGTGCCAGGCGGCACCTTCTCCACTCGGGTGCTCCAGCCAGAACCCCGGGGGTCAGGCAGCGATTAAGGCGCGTTAGCTCTGCTGCGGTCACTCCTCCTCACTGGCCGGCAAAGTCCAGCATTTGTGGCTCTCCTGCTTAAAGCGCTCCCGCACCCCCTTGTTCACCCAGAATCAGCCCCGAACCCCTTGTCCTTGTCCCCTTCTGTTCACCTGCTGCACCCCCTCGCCGGGCCCGGGGAGCCCCCACCCTGACCAGCTTCTCTTCCTCCGTGCGTCTTCACGCGTCGGTGGGAATGAGGCCTCCCGCGGGCCTGCGCCGCGAAGGCCGGGGCGCACCGTGGAGCTGCGGAGAGGCAGGCTTCCCGCGCTGCCAGCAGGAGCTTTCTCAGCGCAGAGCTAGCACCCCCGTGGCTGCCCAGGGCTGGGATGAGGCTGAACCGCCCGCCTCGGGAAGCCCGTGCAGCGCTGGAGGGAAGGGTGTGTTCTATGGCTTTGCTGAACCTGGAGAGGCTGCGGGAAACGCGAGGCTTCCGAACAGAAAGGGCTGACCTCCGTCGAGGACGTTTGCACCCCTGCACAGTAGCCGGCTCTCTGTGGACAGGTCGTTCCAGCCCAGCCATCCCCAGCGGGCGGGCACGAGTGTGTGGCCCCACTTGACAGACCCGAGCACAGAGAGCAGAGGTGATCTGCCCCCCAGGGTGCAGAGCCCACATTCTCGCGGGGGCCCAAATCCCTCCTCATAAAATGGCAAGAGGAGTTGAGAGTCTTCCGCTTCCTTAAGGCATCCCACAGGGATTTCCCCGGAACTTGCCATTTAGGAAGCTTGCTCTCAGGGAGTGTTGTTCCTGGCTCTGTGTGCTTGGGCTTCTGAGCCTTTGGTGAGGTGACACGCTCTGGCAGGCGGTGTTGGGGACCCAGGGCCCCTCTAAATCACCAAGTCTGTGTGGGAATCGGGCCACAGATCCATCGGACAGTGTGGCCACACAGTCCTCATCAGGTTTGCCTCTTGATCGGGCGTCACTTCAGTCGAACCCTCCAGGTTTTAAGGAGCACCTGCCTTGTGGTCACTTATTCACAGCTTGGACTGCCTGAGCCCTGCAGACACCCCGGCATTGTACGGGCTGCTGGGCTGCCTTCTAGTAGCTCGTGGCCTACAGACGCTCTGTGGACAAATGTGGCTCCGAGCAAGCGGTAGGGCTTGGCCAGTCTTAGGAGGGTGGGAAGGAGGCAGCTGGGCAGGGGAGGAGGGGCTGCTTCAGGTAACACCCCTCAGAAAAGCCTGCACGGACAAAGGCAAGGAGCCGCCCGTTCATTCATCCAACAGACCAAGTATTGAGCAACGGCCACCAGCCAGGCTTCCAGCACGCGTGCTGGACATGGGGGCGCAGAGTCAGGTGAGAGGACAAAGCCCTGCCCTCTGGGAGTTCACATTCTGAGCTGGAGACACAGCAGTTTGGGACCCCAGCACACACAGGCCATGCGGGCAGGGAGGTTCCAAGCAGATAGGTACGCTGAAGCCTACAGGTGAGACAGAGGAGGGCAGGCAAGGCCCTGGGGGTGGTGGGCGGACGAGAACTTGTGGCTCAGCAGAGGGCAGCCTGGCTCTGCCATCTCAGCTCTCCACGTCCCAGCACATCTGGGACACCTGTGGAGTGAACTCTCGCTGGGGCGCCCAAAGAGGCCCTCTCCATGGCAGTGTTTGCGTCCTCCCAGGACATAGCTCCTACGCTGCGGTCTCAGGACTCTCTACAGTCTTAAAAATTACTGATGACCTAGAAAGCTTTTTGCGTGGGTCATTCCTATTAACGTTTACTGTGTTGGGAATTAAAACTGAGAAAATTTAAAAATAGTTGTTAAGCTATTATAAAAAAAAAAAAGACGGTAAATACTGTGTGTGTTAATATAAATATTTTCATGAAAAAAGCCGTATTTCCTAAAACAAAATTTAGCGTCATTTAACACAAAACTTTTTAAAAAACTTTTTGAAGACTTATTTATATCTAGAGAGAGAAGGCGGGAGTTCCTGCATGTGGCTAGGGGAAGGGCAGAGGGAGAGGCAGGCACTCTTAGGCAGACACCCTGCTGAGGACAGAGCCTGCCATTGCCGGGCTTGAACTCAGGACCCTGCGGTTATGACCTGAGCAGAGGCCAGGAGTCGGATGCTTAATCCCCGTACTTCTACGACCCGTTAAACCCCTGGTCCGATAGAAGACAGCTGGGCCCCTACTCAGGTTTCTGCTCTGTTCCCCGTGAGCCTGTGGTGCAGCCTCTGGAGGCAGCACTGCGTGCAGGCGGGAGGACGGGCGCAGAGGAGGCAGCTTTGACCTGGCCACATGCTGGGGCACTCGGGCCGCACTGACTCACTCATGGCCACGTCGGTCCTCCTCGGGGGTGACTGGGTTCCAGGAGCAGCAGCTGTGCTGGCTGGCTCAGCAGAAACAGGGCTCTCGCGGGCCTCTGAGGATGGGGGCCTCAGGCAGCACAGCTCCTTGCTTTCCGCCTCTCTCTGAGGGTCGGCTCCTTTCCTTTCCTCCTCGAGGCGTGGCTCAACTTGGCCTTTCCTCTGGTCTCTGCTCCCAGGAGAGGCTGCACCAGGCCATAAACGTGGGTTCCCTGGCCATGGATGCAGAGGCCAACGTGGCCTGCTTCGATGCTGCAGCAGTCCGTGGCTGTCAGAACAGGCTCGGGCCCTTGACCTCAGCGTGAGGCCCGTCGCCCCAGCTGCCAGGCGCCTGCCTTCCCTCGGCCGTCTGTGACACAGGCACCCGAGAGCTTGGCTGAGTGGTGCTGTGGCCCCTGCCCCTCTTGGAGCTCTCCCAAGGTGCCTCTGTGGGTCCAGTCCCATAGACACGTTCCTTTTGGTTCCTGTGGCTTCTCTTGGCCCTTCCTTCTCGTTGCCTCCTGAACGGACATCCTGAGGTTTCTACACGACCTTCCTGCTCTGTTCTACCTCAGACGTGTTTGCAGTCACATACCACGTGTGGTGAGGGTACTCGCTGCCAAGCCAGGCGTCCCTGTCCTCGGGACACTGGTGTGCGGCAGAGGAGACAGAAGAGCACAGCGGCCAGTCCAAGCAAAAAAGGACAAGAAGCTTTATCATTTGAACAGTGTGAACCCCAGGACGTGGCACTGTCCTCTGTCTGGGGTTGCCAGCAACATCCCCAGAGAAACCTCATTTCAGCTAAAACCCAGCTCCTCCTCGGTGTCGAAATTTGGGGGACAGGGCAAGTAGGGACTGTGTGCGTGCAAGCCTGTGGCTCCTGACCCCCTGTAGACCCTTAGCACTGTCCCTTCCAGAGAGCATAGGCCAGGGCAGCAGCAAAGCCCAAGGGGCACCCCAGCTTCACAGAAGACAGCTTGGAGGCCCGCTGGGAGTGAGGGCTCTGGGGCCCCCTGCCTCTTTGGTATCCAGGCCATGGGCCTGTGCACAGAGCTGCTGAGCCGGGGAGCCAAGCCTTGCCCGCCACTCCTCTAGGATATGGCCGGCTCCTGGGTCACTAGGCCTGCTGCTGGCCCTTAGGAGCCCAGGATGCTCTCCTCAGGCTCTTTCCCCAGGTGGGATAGAGGCCAGAAGCTCCCGGATCCCTGACTAGCAAGGCCCGGTGAGGGCCCTCAAGCTGCTGTTAGCAGGCAGGGACGCCACGGTCTCAGTGACATCAGAGTCAAGACCAGGAGAAGCTGGCCAGGTCCCATCTAGGGGAGCAAGCCTGGGGCAGTGGTGCAGTCCAAGACCCTCTGGCTGAGTGGAGGGGGAAGGGAGGGGGAGAGGAGGGAGGCAGAGGCCAGCAGGCAGAGCCCTGTGGTCAGAGGGACCATGGGTGGGGGGCTCTCAGAACCACCTTCTGAAGCTGTGGGACACACCTTGGGGATAGTGGAGGCAGAGAGGTCCAACCACAGTTGCATGAGACGTGTGAGAAGGGAGTTGGGGACCTGGCCCAGGTGTGGTAGCCAAGGAAGGGAAGGGTAGAGCGGTCTCACGCTGAAAAGGGCCCAGAGGAGGAGGAGGGGCAAGGCCATGCTCAGGCAGGACCAGCATCGCACCTGCTGCCCAGCTGACGGTACCAAGTGCTCTGTGTCCCCCGCAGCTGGTGTACCCCAGTGACTTCCGGCTCACGGACAAGGAGGTGGGTCCTGGCCCTTCTGGGAGCAGCTGTGGCCCTGACTTGAGCTGGCCCTCACCCAGTTTCCTGTGTTTCAGAAAAGCAGCATCTGCTACCTGTCCTTCCCTGACTCCCACTCAGGTAGACAACCCCAATTGGGACGTTGGCTCTGGGGCTGGGGGTGGGGAGTGGGTAATAGGAAAAAGGTGGGAGATAAGGCTGTCCGGGAGCCCCTGTGGCCCAGGCCTGGGCATGACCACTGCCAGCATCACTGCCTGCCCATGCCAGCCCCACTCCCCACTCCATGGAGTCACTCAGAGCTCCACATCACAGCAGTGGTAGCCAGGTGCCCCTGGTTTATTTTCTTTCTTTCTCTCTTTCTTTTTTTTTTTTTTTTAAAGATTTTATTTATTTATTTGACAGGGATCACAAGAAGGCAGAGAGGCAGGCAGAGAGAGAGGAGGAAGCAGGCTCCCTACTGAGCACAGAGCCTGATGTGGGGCTCAATCCCAGGACCCTGGGATCATGACCTGAGCTGAAGGCAGAGGCTTAACCCACTGAGCCACCCAGGTGCCCCTGCCACTGATTTTCAAAGAAAGAAGCGTCTCTGGGCACAGTGATCAGTGGGGTCTGGTCCCCTTCATCCCACCCAGTGGCCACCAGGAACTGGGTCCTGGCCTTTGCACTTCTCCAGGGCTCAGGTGTCCAGGCAGCCCTGTTTTCTGTCACAGACCAGCAGACAGGGCCCCACCAAGGTCTCCCAGTGTCCCCAGTGCTAGCTGATTATACCAGCATGTGCTGTGTTTATTTTGAAACTCTCAGGTGCAGGAATCAGGACATAGCTTTCCTCAAAGCCTGGGCTTTCTTGTCTGGGGTGTTTACGGCCCGGTCTTGGGTCCCCTCCCTGGTGCGTCCCTGGTCCTCTCCCCGGCATGCCGGCAGGAGAGGTCCCAGCACTAACATGGACTGGTGGGGGCTGCCTCCTTTCCAGGCTGCCTCGGAGACACTCAGTTCAGCTTCCGCATTCGGCAGTGCAGCGGACAGAAGAGCCCGTGGCGTGCCGAGGACCGGCACTATAACAGTGGGGCCCCCACGCCACTGCAAGTGAGTGTGGGCTGCCTCTCCCCGGAGGCCAGGGCCAGGCTGGCGGGAGCAGCCGCAGGGTTTCTAGCTGCCGCCGGCCTGTGGACCGGAAGCCCAGCCCGCCTGCATGGGGAGCGGCCCACTTTTCACCACCGGCTGCTCCCAGGCCCCTGTGGCCACTGTGCCTGCCGAGACGTTCTGTGTCGAGGGGTTGGCCAGCTCCAGAGCCAAGGATCCCAGGGCCTGACCCCTGTGGCTGGAGAGAGCTGTAGCGGCCGTGGCGGCGGGGGGCGGTCTGGGCAGGCGGGAGGGAGCATGGGCAGCGGGCTCCGCCCGACTGACGCTGTTCCTTCCAGCGGGAGCCGGCGCACTACTTTGGTTATGTATACTTCAGACAGGTGAAGGACAGCTCCATGAAGAGGGGCTACTTCCAGAAGGTGAGCCACCTGGCTGCTCTGGGCTAGTGCTGCTGTGAGGCAGGGCTGGTGGCCAGCAGGCTGGGGGTCCTGAGCCTCCAGAAATGGCCACTCCTCCTGCGGCCCCCAGTCACTTGGCACTGGGCAGAACTCACTGCCCTGGGCCACGTAGGCCGCCCTGCCTGGACAGCAGGCGAGGGGTTGGGGGACAGGTGCCGCCACACCCAACTCTCCTGGTGGCCCTTTGGGGAGCAGGCTCTGCTGCCCTGCCTTGCCCAGCTCAGCACCCGGGGCCCTCTGTCTCTGATCTCAGGATATCCCTGCTCCTTGCTGCAGAGTGGAGAGGGGCTTTTGTCACACGTTCAAGATTAGAACAACTTCCATCTTGAACTCAGACTCCATAAGCAAAACTGTTTGACTTCTGGGGAGATCGTCCCAGAAATCTTGGCTTTGTGCATTTCTCCTTGAAGGCCCAGGGCCCAGCTGTCATCTGAGGTTTCCGTGCCCTGTCTGAGGCAGACTTTGGGTTTTCTTCTAATAACTCCAGGGTCCAAGTTGGCCCATTCCTGGGGATAGCTGTCCTGTGGGGTTTGTGGGATCCATTTCCCTGGGCAGACTTTGGATGAGCCAGGCCTCAGGGGTCCCTGCTGACTCCTGCGGGGCTGGGATTCCATCTCACCGGCCCTGTGGACTCTGCAGTCTCTGGTGCTGGTGTCCCGCCTGCCCTTTGTCCGGCTGTTCCAGGCGCTCCTGAGCCTGATTGCCCCCGAGTACTTCGACAAGTCGGCCCCCTGCCTGGAAGCGGGTGAGTGGCTGTCAGCTGCTACCACAGTGCTTTCCGTCCTGGCTGTAGCCCCGGTGGCCTCCGCAGGCAGCCGCTGCTCGGGGCGGGCTCCTGACGCGGCCTCCTGTGTCCACAGTGTGCAGTGAGATTGACGAGTGGCCCGCCCCTGTGCCCGGGCAGACCCTGAACCTCCCCGTTATGGGCGTCGTCCTCCAGGTGAGGGCGGACCATCTGCAGAGGGAAGGCCCCAGTTTGCAGAGACACCCACACCATCTGGCCGCTACTCCCTCTTGTCCCCCAGGTTCACATCCCGTCCAGGGTGGACAAGCCTGAGTACGGTCCTCCGAAGCCGTGTAGCCATGAGGTGGGAACCCACGAGGTGGTGCCGCCCCTCCCACCTGCTCTGGCCTCCCTGCCCTTGCAGGGGGCCCTGTGGGGGTGGCCAGAGCCCAGGCAAAGCTAGCGGCCAGCATCTTGCTGTGGGGTTGCGTGCCCCCTCCCCAGTGCTGTGGGGAGGTGTGCAGGGTGGGGGTTGCAGCGCCCAGGGGTGACAGGTGCTGCTTGGGGCTTGGGGGCTGCCAGCCTTGCCCTCGGCCTCACCCCGTCCGCCCCGCACCTCAGAATTTGCTGCCCGCCCCAGTGATCCTCACCAGTGTTCATGAACTGGACCTGTTCAGGTGAGCCCTATCGTCTGCTGTCTATCGCCTGCACAGGTAGTGTGGGGACCCGGGGGGGGCGGCTGTGTAGAGCCGGGGCCACTAGAGGGACAGCCTAGCAGAAGTGAGCCCTTGGCCGGTTCCATGAGGGAGAGTTGGACTGAAGAAGAGCCCAGGGCCCTCCTGCCTCTACCTAGAGGAAATGGGCGCCGTGGGCAGGAAGGTTCCTGGGAAGAAGTCAGGTGCAGGGAAGGGAGCTGTTGCGTTGGGAGGTACTCGCTGCTCCCAAGGCTGCGTCTCTCCAGGCAAGTCTGGGAAGGGCCGGCCTGGGAGAGCAAGCTGCCTTGGGTGAGGTGTGGGGGCCAGGGCTGCTGGCTTCTGTGTGAGGATACAGGTGTGCCACTGGAGTGCGGGGCAGCCCTGGACGCCCCTTCAGCATCTTCAGGTGTCCTCGCCGCCATCCCTCTGGGGCAGTGCCTGGTGTGCACTGAGAGCTGGGCCTGCCTGGTGGGGAGGGAGGGGCTGGGACTGGGAGCTCTGCCCCTGCTGGGCATCCTCTACCACCCGCCCCTGCCTGGCACTAGGTGCTTCCAGCCGGTGCTGACCCACGTGCAGACTCTGTGGGAGCTCATGCTCCTCGGGGAGCCCCTGGTGGTCCTGGCACCCTCGCCCGCCACGTCCTCAGAGATGGTGCTGGCCTTAATCAGGTAGGCCGGGAGGTGGTGGGGGGGTGCGTCGGGGTCCCTGGAGCAGCCCAGGCTGTGCTCAGGGGCCCTGCCGCACCCCCACCCCACAGCTGCCTACAGCCCCTCAAGTTCTGTTGTGACTACCGCCCCTACTTCACCATCCATGACAGCGAGTTCAAGGAGTTCACCACGCGCACACAGGCCCCGTAAGTGCCCTGCCCATGCCCCATCCTCCGCCTGCCTGTGCTCCACTCCCCGGGCCTGCCTCTGCCCCTTCTCTCTCTCTTTCTTCTCTCCTCTCTCTAGACCAAACGTGGTCCTGGGAGTTACAAACCCTTTCTTTATCAAAACACTCCAGCACTGGCCCCACATCCTCCGTGTCGGAGAGCCCAAGATGGCAGGTGAGGTTGGCCTGTCCTCTGCCCAGGGGACCTGGGGAGCTGGGGCTCGGGGCCCCGAGGGTTCTGAGCTGTGGCGGTTGGAGCTGGGCACTGAGGCTCAGCACTGGGTGTGTTCCGTAGGGGACCTTCCTAAGCAGGTCAAGCTGAAGAAGCCGTCCAGGCTGAAGACGCTTGACGCCAAGCCAGGTGTGTGCCCCTGGGCCGGAGCTCCTCCTCACCTCCAGAACCCGGCAGTGGGCTCTGAGTTCTTGGGGAGCCTTCTGTGCTTCCCCCAGTTGGAGGTGGGCGTAGAGGTGCAGTCACAGCTTGAGGGGGTGGGGCTGTGGGGGGGAGGCCCCTCAGGACAGGGCCAGCTCTGCCCTCCTGCCAGGCCTTTACACCGCGTACTCGGCCCACCTGCACCGGGACAAGGCACTGCTCAAAAGGCTGCTCAAGGTATAGGCTCGGGGGGTGGGGGGGTCTGGGAGGGGGTGCTTGCTCTCTGTAAAGGGCTGCATTGGAGTTGAGCCCATGCCTCCCCTGCCCTTAGGGGCTGCAGAAGAAGAAGCCGTGGGACACACAGACGGCACTGCTGAGACGGCACCTCCTGGAGCTCACGCAAAGCTTTATCATCCCCCTGGTGAGGCCCAGGGCAGGAGGGGGATGGGGGCAGAGGGCCGTGGCCCAGGCTCACTCCCCTCCCCTGCCAGGAGCACTACATGGCCAGCCTCATGCCCCTGCAGAAGAACATCACACCCTGGAAGGTGCGGTCCAGCTGGTGGTCTGGGGAAGGCCTGGGAGGGTGGGCTCCTTTCCTAATTCTAGAAGAAGGGAGGTCTGCAAGGGAGGTGGGGAGGAGGTCATTGGGTGTGCAGGAGTTCCCAGGGCTCTAGGCTGTCCCCACATGTGCCAGACATCCCTCATAGGACAGAAAAATGGGGGCGGCACCTGAGGAGCTCTGTCCCGGGAAGGGCGGGGGCTGTGGGTCCTCACGTGGCTGCACAGCGAGGCCGGGAAGGGTCCTGGCCAGCTGCGGGGCTAGAGCTTGTGAGGCTGTGTCCCCCACTGACCTGGGCTCACTGGGCTCCCATCTCAGACTCCTCCCCAGATCCGCCCCTTCCGCCAGGATGACTTCCTGCGCAGCCTGGAGCACGCAGGGCCCCAGCTCACCTGCATCCTCAAGGGCGACTGGCTGGGCCTCTACAGGTGGGTGAATGGCGGACGGGGTCCTGAGGCTTCTGCAGGGCTGGGAGCAGGGTCATGGGGTCAGCCCACAGTGGCTGCCTCTTGCCACCCATAGGCGGTTTTTCAAGTCCCCCCACTTTGACGGCTGGTACCGGCAGCGGCACAAGGAGATGGCTCAGAAGCTGGAGGCCTTGCACCTTGAGGCCATCTGTGAGGCGGTGAGGGGGAGCTGGGGCTGCGGGGGGAGAAGGGGAGCACAGGCCCGGGGCAGAGGGAGGGCCCTGGGGATGATTGGCTCCATCTTGTCCCCAGCAGAACATCGAGACTTGGATGAAAGACAAGTCTGAGGTGGAGGTCGTGGACCTGGTCCTGAAACTTCGGGAGAAGCTGGTGAGATGCCTCCGGGCCCTGTCCAGCCACCCCAGGCAGATGGAGGTCACCTGCCCCTGACTGCCGCTGCCCCTGCAGGTGCAGGCACAGGGCCACCAGCTCCCGGTGAAGGAGGCAACGCTACAGCGGGCGCAGCTGTACATCGAGACGGTCATTGGCTCTCTACCCAAGGACCTGCAGGCTGTCCTGTGCCCTCCCTAGGGCAGGGCCAAGGGGCGAGCTCCAGGGCCCTGGGTCCGGCCAGGCATGAGCTCCCCAGCCCGAGTCCCCTGCTGCTGCTCTGTAGCCTTGGCCCCCCCCATCAGCTCCACTGTTGTTTCAGCAGTAAAGGTGGCATTTGGAACCACAGCCTGGCCCCTGTCTCCTGCGGATCACGTATAGGCCAGAGCCTTACCTCCCCCTGGGTCCCACCTGCCCTCTGCAGGGCCCCAGGGCTGGGAGGCAGGGCTGGCTGGGAGCCCTCACTGCTCTGGCACGGGGCTACCCACCCCCTGCAGTGCCCACCTGCCCAAGCTCTGGGGCCCCAGGCCTTGTACTTGATGTGTCCGTTAGCCCCACCAGGCTGCCTGACCCAGGACAGAAGGGGGCAGCTGTAGGCAGACTCCTCTTCTCACAGCCAGCAGCCGTCTTACATGGGGACAGAGAGACTTGGCTGTTATGGTCACTGGCTGGGGAGGGGCCAAGGCCTCCTTGCGGGGGAGGAGTTCTGCCCTGTAGTACGTTGGGGGGCTGCCAAGAGGGTCCGGGGCATCGTCCTGGGTCCCACTCTTGGAGCACCCGGCTGGGCATGCTTGTGTGTGCTCTGCCCAGTGACGCTGCTTGTCTGATAGGCACTCGAGCTGTCTCCCTCCCATGTGTCCATCCACCCCCACGAGCAGCCCGAGGTCCTTGGGACTCTAGTCTTACTGGACGCCCTCCGTAATCCTCTGTAGCTGCTGCAGCCTGGGAGCGGCGGGCTCCTTGGCTGGAGCGGAAGGGCCCTCAAAGGTGCTGACGTCCCCTGTGTGACACTGTGGAGTGCTGGGCCCAGCGGTAGCCGGCGGGAGGGTGGGCGTGAGGTGTGGACCCAGCGTGGTGAGTGTGCAGGTAAGTCTCCCAGCCCTCAGCCTCAGCGCAGACCCCTCATCTGAGAGGTGAGGATGGGTAGGGCCCTGACGGGGCTTGGCCATCTCCCTGAGCGCAGGCCCTCGGAGGTGCTGTTTTCGCGAGCGGCTGCAGGCGGATGCTCTTTGAGCGCTCTGCTCGCTGTGTGCGGAGTTGGGCAGAGCCGCTGATGACGGTGGCCGCGGCTCTTGGCAATGTCAACTCGTGTGGCCCTGATAATGGCCTAGGACGGCCTGTTACTGTCATGGCTCTGCAGACTGCTGAGCCCAGTCTGATGCGGGGTCTAAGGACAGGGCTGTTAATGAAACAGAACCGAATAGAGCCGGACAGGAGCAGGGGGTCTGTGTCTGCAGAAGAAACAGGCTGGGGCTGGAGGAGTGGGAGGCCCCACGTTGGCCCAAGGTGCCGCCCTGGGCAGCCTGCCCTGGCGGGCTGGTGTGGAGGGGTGACCTCCTCACACAGGGTGTGGTCTTGAAGGGGGTCTGCAGAGACGCCAGCACCTGCCTTGTGGCTGGCTTACATGCTCGTGTGCCTGCTAGGGCCAGGGCTGGTCCCAGGCCGGTCCCATGCCCCCAGTCCCAGGCCCACTGTGGGTACAAGGTGGGTGGGAGTCTTGGGAGTCGACCTGGACCCCCCATGATGGTGACTCCAGATGTGAGGGCTGGGCTCCAGATGTCACTAGCTTGTGCTTGAGTGTGCAAGCACTGGGCAGCCACTTCCTGCGGTTTCCAGGGGTGTGCTGCAGGGAAGGGGCTGTGAGGGTGGCCTCAAAGCCACTAGGGACCTTGGCCACCCTCAGTCCAGGATGGCCCAATCAGGTTCCCCCCATTCCCAGAGTCGCCCCCTGGGAACTTGAGGGCTGTGGTTGGGGCCCCATGGCTATCCATCTTGAGCACCACGTGGGCAGGCGCTCTGGGGAGGGATTCCAGGCAGGGTGGGCAGTGCTGCTGGGGGAGGTGGGGATGAGTCTGACACTGACGTGGAGAGGTGTGCGGAAGCACCTCTCCTGGGGCGCCTGGAGCCAGGAAGGGCCCATCTCCCTCACAGGCCGACCTCGGCATGGAGGTGGCCTCTGGTGGGGGCTCTGTGGGAGCCCTGCATGAAGTCTCACGGCTCCATCTCTCCCCCACAAGGCCCCTGTTCCCTCCTAGGACCAGGCCAGCTCTGGGTTGGCTGAGTTTTGTCCCCCAGCGGCCGGTCGCAGCAGCCAGTGAGGGGTGAGGAGGGAGGGGCCGACGGATAAGGCCCTCCTGCCCTCACCCTGATTGGAGCCCGAGGGCAGGGGCCCACAGAGGCAGGAGCTAGCTGGTCCGAAAGGGTGTTGTACTTGGTCGGTGAGGCTTCCTGCGTTTAGAGGGGCTGTGTGTGGCCGTGGGGATGCGTCAGCCCCACCAGGAACAGGAAGGACAGTCTTCACCCCCTTGCTTCCTGTGCTTTATTTAAAGATTCCCTTTTAGTCTGGGAGAGTGGCCTTCCCACATTTCTGGCATTAAAATGTCTTTCAGTGACAATGCTTGTCTTTTAACTTCCTCTTTTGATTAAAACAACAAAAAGTCAGTGCTCTTGTCAGACTCTGGTAACTTTAGGGGTCCTCTACAGTGGGGATTGGGTGGGCCTTGGTGTAAAGTGTGGTTCGGGGCTGAAGGAGAGGAGGTTTGGCCTGCTTGGCTGGGGTTGGCGGGCAGAGGTGCTGGGAGAACTGAGGGACATGCTCCTAAGGCCTCCAGACCTCTTGCAGGTCTCCGGGTGGAGGAGCTGAAGGGGAGGAGATGCTGGAGGGTGTGGAGGGGACAAGAGGAAGTGAACAGTCTTCAAGGAGGGGGTGGGGGGGGCATCCTGGTGTAGGAGTGCTGGGTAGGGTTCAGGAACTAGTCCCTTGTCTTCCATGGGTCCCCAGCTGCTGCTCACCACCTCGCCCCCCATCCTGTGACTGGAGACTCCTCTGAGGGGCAGCAAGAGCTCCCAGGACCGTGGGCCCCACGGAAGGGCCCACACCTTTTCCAGTCAAGGCAGACACCCCTGGTGCTGGTCCTGGGGGCGGTCCCCAAAGACCTCTGGGAGTCAGCAGGTGCTCCTCTAACCCTAAGAGGTGGGGGGTGAGGCTCCTGGCAACTGGTCAGGGCACAGCAGCCCCCGCGCCAGGGATGTGGCAGGCCTGAACCCAATCTGGTGAGGGCCCTGGGGCTCGACAGTGTCGGAACCGCGAGTTGGCTGGGGCAGGTGTGGCTCGGGGTGCTCCCAGGGTGGTGCCCAGCCCAGGGGCGCGTGCTGCCCGTCGCGAACCTGGGCCCGAACCCGGCCGAACCTACCCCGCAACGCGGCGGGCTCACCGTGGCCTCGGGGCGCCAGGCACGCGCGGGGAGCGCCCTACCCTCCTTCCCCACTCTCCCCTCCTCCCTGCCCGCCCCTCCCTCCTCCGCCGCCTCCGCCGCCTCCCTCTCTCTCCTCTACCCGGCTCTCCCCGCCCTCCCCCTCTCGCCATTGGGGGCGGGGCCGCTGCTCCCGCGCGCTCCGGCCCCTCCTCGGCCACACAAAGGCCCGTCTCCATGGCAGCCGCGCGGGCCGGAGCGCAGCGCCGATCGCGGCCCGGGCGCCATCGAGCCTCGGCGGCGGACGTGCAGGTACCGCGGTGGGGGTACAGGGCCTACGTTGGGCCCGCGCGAGTCGGGGGCTTCGGCATCAGCGCCGCCCCTTTTCAGTCTGCTCGCTTTGCGCGCGGGGGACCCGGGGCAGCTGCCGGTCCGCGGACGGCGATCGGGCCTCTGCCGCAGTCCGTGTGCCCTGGACACTTCCAGGTGGCCGGCGAGGCCCGCGGCGCTCGGGCGAGTTGGGGGGAGGTACAGGCCTGGCCCAGCCGAGAGTCCCTGGGACCCCTTCTGGTTCCCGATCGTCCCTACCCGCCCATGCCTCCCACCTCCCCCGACTCCGAGATCCGTGGGCAGGGCTGCAATTGTCCCTGTTGTGCAAGAGCTCGGGGCCCCCACCCGCCTGCCCCCAATCCAGCAGCAGTTCGGGGTGGCTGAGCCCAGGCTTCCCCAGGGGGGTGGACCGGCAGTCGGCAGTCGGGGCTTAGCGGCACTCTTCCTCCACACCCGCGGGGGCTCCTTGTAAGGACCACCCTGGGATCTCCCTGGTCTGTGCTGGGCTGGGTGTAGAAAGTGGGAGCAAGGGTTCCAGGGTGAGTCTAAGGGCGCTTAGTTCTGGTCGCCGGGGCCTGCCTGCTTCTCCACGGGGCCTGCTAAGGCGGTTCCTCATTTGCTTTATTGGTGTTGCATTGAGGTAGATCTCCTGGAGCCAAGAAGGTCTCAGAACTGTGTGGGTCTGGGGACATACTCCGTGCCTGGGCTTTCCCCTCACCCTCTGACCCTACACCTCTTCATGATTCCTCCTGCGGGAAGCCCTCCTGGCTGGGCTCTTACCACCCGCTCTGTGTTCAGGCTGATTAGCAGATTTCTGGGGTTCCCGAACTCAAGAGCCCTGAAGCTTCCTGCCACGTCACTGAAGCATCTCTTTCCAGCAACTTGGAAAAGGAAGGAAAGGGTCTATCTGTGTCCACTGTGGCCTGTGGCAGTGCTCAGGATTGGGGCACAGTTGGGCCCCAAAGCTAGTGGAATATTTTGAGGCTTGGAGGGTTTTCTGGCCTGTGCTTCCCTTGGGGGAGCTCCCTCGTCTCTGTCTGACTTCAGGTGGGCCCGGTGGAGAGTGGGGGAGCAGGAGGGTCGGAGGGTGCTGCTTGCCTCATGCCCAGATGTTACCCTGGCCCGGCCTGGAATTGCCGTCTGAGAGAGGCCATCCTCTGTCCTGAGGTGAGGGTCCCTAGGAGGGATGGCCAGCGTCACCCAGGCTGAGCCTGCTGGGTATTTTTTGTGGTGTGTCAGCTTTCAGGAATTCCCAGAGAAGATTAAGGACAGACAGGTGGGCTCCACAGATATGAGCCTCCCACCTCTTCCCAGCATACTTACTGAGTCGGGGGGGGGGGGGGGGCGGGGCATCTTGGCCTAAGGAGGGGGCCCCTCTGGTAGGCCTGAGATCTGGCCAGGGGTTCCTTCCCCAGGAGGGGAGGGAAGTTACTGAGAAAAACAAGGGTTTGGAATGTAAGTCCCCCCTCCCCCGCCGGCCTTCTGCCAAGAAGGAATTATTTTGGGTTATCCAGCCGTGTCCAGCCACCCAAGGGGGGAGGCTGCGGCCCTGGGAGAGGGATCCATTTCCGGGGCTGAGGGCTGAGAGCACCGGGAGGGAGGGCC